GGAAAAAATAAGTGAAAAAATAAGTGAAAAAATAAGTGAAAAAATAAGTGAAAAAATAAGTGAAAAAATAAGTGAAAAAATAAGTGAAAAAATAAGTGAAAAAATAAGCGAAAAAAAGTGAGAAAAAGACGCACTGCGGGATTGTCAAATTTCTCCGCGGGGGGAAGGTTGTGGGGCATCCCTCCATGTCAACATTGGGAAAGCGGTCTTGTATCTTGAAGATCGTACCTGTTCAATTCAAGTCTTGTGGGCGGACCTCATAAGGGTATGCATGCGATTCTTTTCAATCCTTGAATAAATTAGACTGACCACAACCTCGACATTGCAGACTATCCTTTCCAAACCCAGGTGACCCGCAAACCCTGGGCAGCATCCAAAAGCACTGTCGAGCCCTTCCACCGGAGATGTAACATTGTCGCCCGCCCAAAAATGACAGGACAAAACGTCCAAGGCGAACTTGTCCTTGGACAACGAGACCGGGAATCGTGTCTTTGCGAATACCGTGCCAGTTTCACAAGGCAAAGAACCACCTGGACGCCCCAAGGTCGCTCACAGTGCACTGCGAAGTTTATCTAGTCATGCTGGATCTCTCAAGTTGACCTGCCGCGCCATTCAACAACGCTACAACCAAAGTGTCATGTTCCTAGGAAAATTTCATCCATCTTTGGAAGCCATACTGCCAAATACTGAAGTCAATTTTCGTCAAATATTGATATATCTGCACCGTGCTCCGATTATAAGCGCCCTTGGCAGACAGGGCTTTTATTTTCTTATTTTGACCAAGATAAAAAAGCAACGGCTCAATACCAAGCACACACAATCTGAAGCAAAAATTTCCTGCCATGACGATGTTTATCTGTGGTAGGGATCTCTTCCTTTCTTTTTCATCTTAATGTTCTAGATAATGAAATAGAGGAATAGTAGCCTTGACTCGAACTGTCTTGCCCAGCCGTCCAACTGTTCTGGACCATCAAGAAAGAGACGAATACGAGGACCCGATAGTATTATGTTGAAGCAATGCAGGGTCTTCAGCGAGGCAGATTTTGCAACATGTATAACATGCCCGGCCAACATGAGGCATTGCTAAACCCTGAGGATATCGGTGATTGAAAGGGTACTATTCCGTAGAAGGATAAGAATCAAGATATATCCTACTTGGGCCATTCCGACAGATTTGTAAGGAATATCATGAGCCCATGACCGAGAATATGGACAGGTAGGTAGGTATCAAGTCATTTCATTCAGTCCATGGAAGTCGGATTCGTGGGCGTTCAATGCAATAAAAGGTTAATATGAAGTCTGCACCTCGGCCGAGAATAATACCCGAGGTTGATTTGATGGGATTATTGACGGGGAATTGATTGTAGGGCAGGGATTTCGAGTCCGAATGTCCCCGAGAATTTCCATCATGATTCGTGTCAATGCTGTATCAGATGGTTGATGCCCAGAGTTCAGTTGGTAAAGCAAAGAAAAAGCTGCTGTTGGTTGCTAGTTGCTGATTACACACGTAATTCTAGTACGTAGTATTCGGTTGAGATTTCATACGTTTGAACATCGGGAAAAGGCAATTGTAACAGCCGCAAATGAGATAAACTATTGCACAAAGACTATGCAGTTGGTTGGCAACCCCTGGTTTTGAAGTTTTGAACCCTTTTTTGGTTTGAACCCTTGCTCGCTCCCACCGTTGTACCGCAGGCCGCAAGGGGCATCAAGAATTGAGCGCAAGTCCTCACATAAGCACATTGCACCAACAGACTTGTAGAGTTACTATGCCCAGCAGGCTCCCACAGTTGTATGTCATATACCTTGTATAGAAGTAAACTCTATGTGGTGTCAAGAGGAGAGCGCTCGACCAACAAGACTTGGCGTTTTGTATGATACGATTGGACCAATCAGTTGCGTCCTTACGAAAAAGGGCAAAACATCGGTAAACAAAAAGACTTGGGGGAAAAGTAAAGACAGTGACCGTGATCCGATATGAAAATTTAGGTATAAATAAAGCCTGCTTTTGTCCTGTTTTCCTGAAATTCTCGACAGCAGCATCAGCATCAGCATCAGCTCGTCTCACACTCAGCTCTAATACTGATTCTCACCAATCCCACCAATCTCACCATCCCTCCTTATCCTCCTCAATCGACAAAATGAAGTCAACCAGCATCCTCAGCACCATTGCCGTCTTTCTCGCAGGCGCAAATGGCCTGGCCACACCAGTCATGAGCCGTCGCTCTGGCGAGGTCGGTAGCCCCATTCCCGAGGGCTTCACTGTCGCCGAGCTTGAATGGGAAGTTGAGACAACCCCTGGCGGCAGCAACGTAACTCTTACCGGCACGGTCGAGCAAGTCCATGCCAAACTCCTCGAAATCAACCCCAACTGGGATGAGGAGTTTGCTCCCATCATCGCCAAACGCAACGCCGAAGCCATGGCTGCCGAGGGCATCACCCCCAAGGCCGACGGCGTACTTTCCAAGCGAGACTGGACCGTCTGCGGCGATTCGGGTTACGGCCACGATGGTGCCCACACCGGTGCCATTGAAACCGGCGTTGCTTATCTTCGTGGTCTGTCCGGCCAGGCTTCAAGAGGTCCCGGTCCGCGGAGCTGCGTCCAGGTCAGCTGCTCCTGGAGCTCGGCAATCTGGTACTGCAACAACAATTCCTACACCAAGTATATGCCATGGGTTCACATTGCCAATGCCGGCCAGGTTCTCCTCGATTCATGCAAGTACTATACCTGGCCTAACTGGTGGGTTAGCGGAGAGAGACACCACGATGATGGGTGGTTCGCCATTGTCGCCTGGAACCCCGATTGCAACAAGTATTCTTAAATCCATCAAGAGCTGTCAGATTGAAGAATCGCTGGTGGCAAGGACCAACACACCTTTGGGAAGATTTCTTTTCTTTTATTCGGATCATCATGTCAACATTGATAGGCAGATAGTCATGGAGGATTAACTAGTACATGTAACCTCGATAGACGGACAAATAATACACAGAATGTTAACATAACCTGCCTTGACCCACAGTATGCCCATAATGCGAGACTTTCAATTGTGCCATGTCACCATGAAAGACAAAGCTGAGAATATGTACAGACAGACAAGCAGCTAAAAAAAAAAAAAAAAAAAAAAAAAAAAACATTAGATGACCGCATCCTATTCTAATAGCAAATAAGCGTCCAGCGCTCCTCTCAAAGAAACCTAAAATTGCACAAGAAAAAGAGAAAACCCCCAAACATCTTCCCTCATTTCGAACAACACCACTCAAAATTAATTGAAGATAGCCAAAACAAACTCACTCTCATCTCCCAAACCTACCTATTCCCCAACTTCTTCTTCAACCCGACCCACTTAACACCATTCTCCCCAATCCCCTCCAGCCACCCCAACTCCCCCTTTAACCTCCTTATCTCTTCCTCTCTCCAAATATATTCACTTCGATAATATTCCTTCCAAATCTTATATCGCTTCTCATCGTAATTCCTCTTCCACTCAACTTCTTCCTCTCTTTGCCGATTGATCAACTGACTATGTTCCTGTTGTGCTATAGCGAGTTTTGGTCTCGCTTTATCGGCTTCCGAATTCTACTTCGTTGAGCGGGTTTAAACCTGGCGCGACAGTCATGACTTTTGGCTTGGAGGAATGTTTAGGTTCAGGTTTAGAGTCTGAAGTTGGGTCAAGAGCTTGGTGTTGGGTATTGGTTGCCGGCTGGCGTAAATGTTGTTGATATGCAGGAGGGTAGAGATAGTTGCTATGCTGGGAAGAAGACCCTGTGGTGAGATGTGACTGCTGATGGTTTGAACTCTTTATGCTTCTAATTCCTTCGGAGCCTGAGGTGACTGAAGAACCAGAAAGTGGTGTGAACTGGCCTGATGGGGTACCCGATGAAGAGGATACGTCAGATACGTTAATGTGTTGAGGAGATACTATCGTGTGCGGATGGGTGGGAACGTTGGGTGTACCGTGAGATGCTGTGTTTGCGTAAATGCTGGGGATATCATCACGGGATTGGTATTGGTCTTCTACGCTCGGATGATGACCCTTAAAAGATGCTGGGCTGTTGTTAGGGGTCGGAATGTGGCGAGTAACCGTGTTTTTGTAAATGCCCGGAATTTCTGTCCGGTCGTCTGCATTGGATGTATGTTGTGCTTGGTGGCTGGGATATTGAGTCCCAGAAGCAATTGATGATACGGAAAATTGCTGCTCGCAGTGTTGTACATGTACTCATGGGTTTGGAATCCAGAACCAGACCCTGGATTCTGGTCACCGTGATAAGGCACGTTCGTCTGAGAGTGATTTTTTCGCGTCATGGCTGCTTGTGTAACTTGTGAAATGATATCTGCGGAATACAGAACGGCTGGGACCTGGGAGTCCGAGAACTTATACTTCCTGTTAACAGGTCTCTTCCATTCCTGCACTTGCACATGACAAGAATCGACACATGTGTCGAAACCAACTATGTGTGCCAGGCCACAACCACGTATCCAACAAATTACTGCGACAATAAAGAGCTCATATCCTGTGATTTCTTGTGCAGCACAGAGCACTCTGGTACCAACAAAGCAAACCTGCGCAATATATCAGATCAACAACCCCTGACATTATTGACAAAGAGATGCCGGGTCATTTTACCACTCTGTAACTGATGCAACACCTTCCGCTGGCTGCAGCCAACACTTTACGATACTTCATCAAATGTGTGACTAACATTTACGCACGAGGCGCGCACTATGGAATTAGTGAATAACGAAAAAGAAAAAGAAAAGAAACAGAAGATAATTTCAGTGCTAAGGTTGCTGTGAATTAATTACCTTATAGTTTTATGGTTGTTGATTAAACTGAGCTCACGATTGCATCAGAATCGCCGAGGCACGCCGAGAAAAGTGCAAGTTGGCAACAATATTTCAACAAAAACAGTACAGGCCGTGTGGTGTAGTGGTAGCATACTTGCTTTGGGTATTCTCGATCTGAAACTTGCAAGTGGTCCCAAGTTTGAGCCCTGGCTTGGCCCCATCATTTTGTGATTTTTTTCTTTTTTTGGTTTTTCAGCTGACGAAAGCCAAGACTTGTTTTCTTGTCCAAAATTTTTCTCTCTCAAAACTCAATCCATCCAAATAGTTCACAGCATCAAAATTTTGCTGCTCTTAATCTTCCAATTCCCAACGACGGTGTTGACGAACGACGTCTAGATACAGTTGATCAATTCCAAGATCCTGATCCTCATCGGTCAACATCCTCCACGGTTTTACCAACCGACGAACAATACCCTTCCAGGTGCTCGACGGGTGCCTCTCCGTTTTGTTCCCCCAGAAGTCGCTCCACTCGAGGGCAGTGGTTAGCATGGTAATGTCGCTGGGCCGCACCAGATACACATTGTTTTTATTTGTGGAGCCAGCCACCTCTTTCTTCGGCCTTCCTTCATTCTGCCCCTATTCCTTGCCCACCAATTCTATGGCCTGATAGAGCAGCTGCATCTGGGTTGGTGGTGACGAGGGACTGGTATTCCCGTGATGGCTGCGGCTGGGACACTCCACCCTGGCAGCTGCGACGTGTGGAGCCTCATACCGGTGATCATCAACGCTGGCGCAGACAATGGTGTACTTGATGGCCTCTCGCAAGAGACGGTATCGTCCCTCCCAGATTGGATGCAAGAGAATATCGTTGAGGTTTTGACAGAATGGCAAACCCACAAAATGCTTTGGACGACGGCCCCGCGATCTTCAACCCTGGGCACATTCCGTTTGTTATTGTGCACCTTGTCAGGGACGACCATCATTCGATGTCGGGTAGATATAATATCCGATGGTAGGCAACCAAAGTAGAAGCATGTGTTCTCCCACAAAGTGCGCTCTTCGAGGGCGACGGCGGGCTGTTGCAGGGCATGGCCGGCAAATTCATGGGATCTGGAGTGCAAAAGGGCTTTCCGGAGAGTGTGATTCTTCCAATCGCGTTGAAGACGTAATTCGTGTTCTTTGGTCCAGATGGTATCGAATTGGGGGGTTGGTAACAAGGAGCGGAAGGTGTCGGGTGTGTCGAGGTAGACAGGAGTTGCCATCCAGCGGCCGGCTTGATTGTCCTGCCAATGTTGAATTGGACGGCTCTCCTCGTTCTCGTTGAAGTCGACCGGTATATTCTTCGTCTGGGGAGCTCGTCGTGGTGGATGATGCAGGACCGCCAAGATTGGATACGGCGTTGGAGGCAAGGTTAGGGAGCGGGTAGGGCCGGAAGCGACCGTTGTGGCTTGTATCCGAGTGAGTCGGTGCCATTTTGCTCGATATAAACACGAACAGGAGACAAAGTGTCAAAGGTGGCCTAATACCCAAGATTACTGCTTCTTGTTCGGATTGATGGAAAACGATGAAGAGAACAGAACGGGAGGGGAAACGAAAAGAAAATCCGGGGGAGGACCCAGATATGTGGGAAGGGGCTTTTTCCACAAACAGTCGTTGGCGAATCTCGTCCAATTAGGTTTGAGAAAAAGCCAGCCAAAGGCGGAGAATGTCGGCTGATGTCTGAGAACCTGGAAGGCGTCTCGGTGAGGCAGGAACTTAGTGGCCTGGAACTTCTCGAGGTTCTTACCGCATTCTGGATTTCCTGGTTTGCAAGATTTGCCCCTCTCAGAACCTGAAGAATTGCTTTTTTGGGGGGCCTTTGATGAAAACTCTGTGGATGTTGGGAGGTGAGACATGCCACATCGACGATTTTCGTGCAGATGCCAAGGCGATATCACGGACGTTATGAACATTTTTCGGTCCAAATTCACACTTGATCCGATTTCAGCTCGTCAATCAACCTTTTCTAATCCTACACAAGTGTCACATTATTTGAGTCGATGGTTCAAGCATTCTCCATGACGTTTTTACAGGGAAAACGGCCTGACAGGTGAACGGCGTGGCCTGGAGCGACACAGAGACATTTGGAGGTGTCACGAAAGAAAACCCCAGGAACAGCTCCCCTCAAAACCGATTATCCCATGTGCATAGCTGTGGTCCGGGGGCATTTTTGTAGCTTGGTGGCACCCAATAATGTTGATGCGGGGAGCGAATTGTCAGAGTTTTCTTGTTTTGAGACATTCCCTTCGAGTTCCGACGCAGTGCAAAGTGCATAAAACAAAAGCGATATATCACATTTTTGCACAATGGCGTTCTCTTTGACAACAGACAAACTCTTCTTCGCCATCTTGGATCCTAAACAAAAAAAAATGAAGATAACTTCATTTAAAATGACGTTCCTGCCTGCAGCTGCCAAGGTGTAGCATCCGATCGACGGCTACCCGCATCACAGCTTTAATTCAACATCGATCATCAACTGCCGTTATCGGCAGGGAACGGCCCAGTACCGCGAGAAACCGGGTTCTTGGATGCAGGATCAGCAAATCCCATCTCTCATGATGAACAAATCTGGAATGATGCAGTGTAGATCAACAGATCAGATCTCCTCGGTGTCACCGTGCTAAGATGTGTTTCGCCTAGAAAAAGAAAATCTCAAAAAAAAAAAAGCTCGGCGTTATTTTTCTGGTCTATCCCGCGTTTCTTATTCAAGAAAAAGCAAAACAAGCAAATGGTTCGCGGATCACCAGCATGAACTATCCTATCACAGTGGGTTCACAAATCTGATCTGCAAGCTGGACCATTCTCTCCGCTTGGCATAAAAGTGGCATGTTCCTGCAGCCGCACGGTCTGGAAATGTCCTTTTATGGAAAGGGTTACTTCGGGATGCGTCCCCGGATCCGCGTTATCAGTATTATTTGCTAATATGTTTCAGATGGGTCAGCTCACGGAATACCTATTTCATCAAGAACTGGCCAACGTTTTAGAGGACATCTGCGGGAATATTGGCGAAATTTATCATATACATAATACAGGTCTTGCGATCAATTTATGTTGATAGTCGAATGGCTATCCTGTTCCGAGAAAGATCGGCGGATCATAGATGTCGTGATAACATCTAGCTATGTTTGCCGAAGATGCCAAGTGATAACTGACAGAACAGCCTTCCATTTTCAACCTGGAAGATGTCGATCAAAGAACAGCAGTGGGAAGTTTTGGCGGGCGTTCTCCGTGACAGGCGGGGTTTCATCATTTGCCATTACCATTATTGCCATTGCAATCAAAGTTCACAACGGCAGACCATCGTATCCTCGCCGCATATTTGCAAAAGTCCGGCCAAATAACCGCATCCCCTGCGGCATTCAGTATAAGAACAACGAAACATCCAAACGGTTTGACTGTCCGATCGGGTTTTTAATGCGATCTCAAAAGCGCTGCGACGCTGAATACTACAGAACATGTGACGCTAAATATCCAGTCCAAGAACTGATTGGTCATATCTTCAGCAAACATTGGACCCTTGTTCAGAGTGAATACTGGGACGAGTCAAAGTCAAGTTGCAGAGACTGTGATATTCCCCTCGGAAACGAAGAAGGCAAGCAACCCAACTTATGTATACAACAAGAAGCTAATAGATTTTTTACAGCACTGCGGATACACCCTGAGTCGGACCGCGACTGGTTTCATTGCAAAGGAATGCGTGGGTTTGAGTTAGGTTATCGGTTCAAAGCAAGCGGGTTTAAGGTTGATCCTGCGTTCTCCTCTGAAAAACAATGGGCTTGTATCTACGATTTGGTTGTGTCTATTTGGAATGAATGGATGGACAGGAAGAAAGCTGGGTGGGATTGCGTGGAGTCGCAGCTACAAGTTTCTGCCAGCTATTCTGATTCTGATGCTGGAGTTATAAGAGACGTAAGGCGGGAACTCCGCCGCCGATATTTTGAACATCCGTAGAAAATCTTTGGCATATGGGTAGAAATGGACTGGGGCTAGCATTTCAGAAAACAAGAGCAGCACATGGATCAAGAAAACCAGCGCAAACGCTGTCATCTATACTTTGGTGATTGCCATTTTGTTTGGCAAGGTGGAATAGACAGATGTGGGCGTGGTGGATGGAGGATATAATAACCAATCTCAGTCATCACAATTTGTCCCTTCCGTGACAAAGTCATCTTGGAAAAAGCCAAAAAAAAAAAAAAAGATAAAATTGAATCCATGACACTCGGCCAACCCTCGGTGATCTCCCCAAGAAAAATATGGCAATACTCGTATTCAGTTATAAAGAGGGGGCTAGGGGCAACATCTTTGATCAGCTTGTATCTATCTAGCGCGGTGGTGCTGCCAGCAATAATGGAGAAAGGGAGTGACCCTAATGGCGGAAATGCAGATCAGCAGGTGACCATACCCCCCTCTGCTGTTTTTCAGAGCCTCGTTGTTGTAAGACTTGAGGCAACAAAGCTGGCGTAACTGCAACTTCTGAGAATTGTCACACGGTCCCCGCTGACGGCATCCAGTACAGTGTGCCAGGTCACCCGACACGACAACAGCAATGCCAAGAAACCTCCGTAACCTACCAGTATAGTAGGGCGGCCGAGGAGGGTTACAACATGCACGTCGAGGAGCCCCCATGACCAGCACACTGAAGGATGGCTGGCTAGGGAGGTCACCGACAGGGAATCTGCAGGTAGACTGTAGGAGCCTCTGAGTCAGAAGACCTGTCTTCTTGGTAATCGTTGGAGCCGAGGAAAAAGAAGTTTTCTGTCCGAAACAATCTCAAGGTATGCCTGGCTTGCACTAATTACCAGTCTCGTGGCTGGACACTAACCTTTTCTTTCTCAACGGACCCCCGCGGGTGAAAAGGGGGAGGGGGGCCTGGAGAAGCACCGCAGGGGCATCAAGATTCTGCCATAACATACCATACCATCTAAAGCTCTATAACACCTGCACGCTGCAACAGGGCCTGCCCGGGGGTGAACTGATTTGACGGCATTGCTGCACTGGGGCCTCAACGGAGGGGTGGGGGTATGCCGTCTCACACCCGCTCATTCCTTGCAACTTCACCAATCTGTGCACGAGGAAGAAGTGTTTGCCAAAAGGTGGCGGAAAGGAGAGATGGGCAACCCTGGCTCGAACAACCAGACCATCAATATAATCCAGCCATTTCAATAACGTAACGTCTGAA